GCTACACAAACTTTCACACAGCTTAAGACAAAAAAAAAAAACACACGGGTTATCATAGATCTGTCATTCTTTTATATTATTGATCAGTTTGATAAATCATAATTTGCTTCTCTTGTTCCTTATTTTCCTTTCATCCGAGAGCATTTTCGCAAACCTGCATGAACAATAAATTCAAAAGGATGAGATTGCTTGATTGGTATCCAGAAAACCTTCAAAATAGATTTGAAAACTTTTCATCACCTCATGAGTTCTTGATCATTGGTGACATTTCGAGGAACAGGTTCATATATATCTGTGTTTAGGTTCATACGCACGACATTGCTTTTTAGTAATTTTTCTCCAATACTCTTTAGATTCTCTAAGTTCGGCATCGCCGCTTTATCCATTGAGACTTCATCTGGTTTCAATGTATCAACCTGAGATACATTTCAATATTAAAAATGATTGGTCACGCGTATAAAAGTTTCTAAAGTATAGTTCTTACGTCGATTCTGAGGTAATTACCCTCGGACTTTAGGGCTTGAAACAGAACAGATGTGTGGTATTGGACCATGTCCCGGCTTGATTCCAGTATCACTTCTAGTATCGGATTTGAATTATATTTGAAGTTGTACGCCCAATTTTCGATTCCCCATTTTGCAGCGTCTGTGGCGCTATACTTGTCCTTTTTTGAGGCTCCTGTCCCTATCGATATCACGAGAAACTTGTCATAACCTAACGCCTCGAGCCCATACATATCAGGATGATTCTTCAAAACTTGCCTAGACACAGCAGTAATGGCCGTCAAAGTCTATAAACAACCGAACACAAAACATACAAGACAATTAGAAGATGATCTATTTCGATTTTCTGCAAAAAGAGTGTCAAGGAATCATGTTTTAGTACTGGGTCATTAGCAGTAACACCACCGTCTATGAGGTTAAACTCTGTCGTCTTTCCTTGTTTATCTTTATTGCTAAAGTAATGAGCAGGAAGGTAAGTGGGAGCAGCCGATGTGCCAATGCATATGTCTGATAACTTGACGTTCAAGCTAGGGTTAACCGACTCCTTCAACAACACGTAACACAAACATAACAAAAAGTAAACCAAAACTGTTAGATTGATAAATGATAATTGATCATATATGACACTAGAACACATATTTCAGTCTCTAACTCTCTATGTAATTATGACGAGCGATATATGGAGAGGAACCTGATAAGAGGAGAAGATGGTGGGTTTCAGTTCCTTGATGTCGAAGGTAGGTATAACAATGTTTGTGAGTGTGTCGTGAAGTCTTGTCTCTCCAAGAAGATTTCTTAATATAGTTCGTAGATCATTTCCGTTGTATTTTGGACCCATCAACAGTTTTATAATCGACATCATCCAGCTTCTGAGTTTTTACAAACAACAAGAATTATCATATAAATATAAGTAATTCTCATAATGCCAACTTATATAGGTAATTAGCTCTTTTTATATCTCGTTATTATGCTATTGGTCAGCAGATCAAATTAATTTAATATATTTATAAAACATACCCTCAAAATACCAATTTTATATTTTGTTTTAAAAAATCAGAAAATATCATTCATATTTTTTCTACAAGCTTTCCTACAAACAGCTGATTCAGAAACATTCCTAAATGTTTCCATATATAAATTGTTCTATTCACCCAAAAAAAAAATATAAATTGTTCTCCGGTATTTTTGGAAATAATCAAAATTGTGATATAAACCAAACATGAAACAATGATGTTTTTCTTGGAAATTCTATTTAGAAAAGCATGATTTTCTTTACCCTGGTGGAAATATCTTAGCAGCCTCTCTAAAGTAAAACGGAACAATCTCATCGGCTGCATAAAGCGGCCGACCGGCCTTGTTCGGTGCAGTCAACATGGTCGTCATAAGGCCACCGGTGCTGGTTCCGGCTACGACGTCGAAATAATCAGCTAGCCTCATGCTTTTGTCATTATCGATCTCCTATTTAATTAATTAAAAGCATCTCACAAATCAAACTCATTAACATGCACGATTATAATTAAGTTCAATTAAGCATATCTTATAAAGAATCGAATAGATCCAAGAACATAGATCGATGCATGCATTTAAGATTTACATGATAATTACTAAGCGGGTCTGAACAAAATTCATATAATGTACATGTCTATTTGTGTTTGATAAATATAGGATTCAATTATTTCAAACATTTTTGTGTTAGCGTTTGTATGTGCATTTGAAAA